ACCTTCAATTTCACTGTTCTACAAAAACATCTTGTACAATTTTATAAATAGTTTTCCATTAACTCTGAAAATGTCATGGGTGCCCTTGCAATAGTCCAAGCTACTAATCAAAAATTCTTCTTCAAATATATCCTGTTCTTATGGAAGCCACTAGGATTTTTAACATCAGTTGCACTTAGAATTGCCAGAAGAGGTAATTAATTGGCAAACTATTCCTCTGAACAGATTAAAATCAATACCTCTCTCAACTTTACAGAAATTTGTCCTCTGGAAAAATGCCAACATAGTCCATAAGACACAATTACTAATCAGCAGCCCTGCTTGATAATTACTCATTCTACCTTACAATAAGATGTGAATAAAGATTTATCCCATAGTGATCTACCTTTTCTGTTCCTTTTCTTTGGAGTACATTTTGGCATTTGCTTCGAATTCTTTTTAACTAGCAGGACCACTGTACAAAAAGGTGCAGGTCAAGTCCAAAAATTCTGACAATCTCGAGGAGGTCAGCTATTTTGGCAGGTGGAGCTACCACATTTTGAACTACTGCAAAATACTGAAAACACAAAGTCTGTTCACAAAGTAATTTCTGGGGAACCTTAGCAGTTATCATAATTTTTAAAACTCAGGAAAGGGTTGATGCCATCTATAGTGAAAGATACTAAGAAGGATATGGACTGACCAAGAAGGGAAAGATTGTGACAGATGATGAACAGTAAGAAAGACCATCTCTCTTCTACATTACGACATGAATAAATTCTAGATTACAAAGGAGTGTGTTTCTTTATCAACATTGCCAAAGCAGAGAGATCTCATAGTCAAGAAAGCGGATTTTTTTCACTTTAGTAAAACCTAGTCATCATCATGGCTGGGTTTCGTGAACGAAGATTTGGGGAGGGCTCTACCCACATTTGTTACAAGCAAGCTGGTGGCTAAAAAGGCCAATACGAGACAGGCACGTCCGGTTGCAAAAGGCAGCAAAACCTAGTATTCCTAAATTAATTGGATTGCTTTTGTCACCCTCGCCGCTAATCTTCAGCAGTATTTTACTTTACAGAGAATTCAGATACAGCTAGATTCTTGCATGTATTCATGTTTTCAGCATTCTTTTATCCCTTCGTTTTGTGCAAATGTCAAAGCCATTCCCTTTGAAAATTACTTGCACTTAGAACAGTCTTACTACTTTGCTGCTAAAAAAATGAAATAAAGTGAAAGCCAGTCAGTATTATCGGAGTAATGAGATTTGACTGTGCAGTTGGTGGGCCTTTATTCATAAGAATTTCTATAAAGCCATATTTTCTCTAACAGACTGTATCATTTTTCCTGTTTTTCCTATAATGATTAAAAGATTCAAAGTGAAAGGCTTCTCATGCATTTTGAAAAGATCAAAACTGAACTTTACAGCAATACTGACAGTCTTCTAAAAAGCACACTTTGATAAAGAGCACAAGTAATGAAATCACGTAAAAATGGTTAAAAAACACTAGCACGTGAAGCCTACAAGGGTAAAGTCAATTCCTTCCTGCGTATGCTTGCCAGAAACAAGTCCTCAAAAGATGTGCAATATAACACAAAAAAAAAAAAAAGATGAAATTTCAGGTGTAAGGAAGACCCAGTATCCTTGTGGGCTAATATCACATTCCTTGTAGCATAACTTACTATTAGAATTGAGTAAATACAGTAATTACCTATAACACCGGAATCATCTCTAGTTGTTCAAAGAATCCTGTTGTTCCATTTGTCCTCCTCTTTCCAAAAAAACTGAGGTAGCAGAAAAAAATCTGGAGGCAGAAAAATAACAGTACAAACAAATAAGAATGAGCCATTGGGAAAAAAAAAATCAAAAAAACCTCAAAAGCAGATTCCCTACTCTATTCAGATAGAACTTTCTTCCATTTCTGCTGTGATTCCTAAACTTTCCGAGGAAGACGATAAAAGCGTGTCACTGCACAACTGTCACCTTAGTTCCTTCCACAACTTCAACTTACACACCCATCAACAAAGACTCCAAAGGAAGACTCCAAATATGAAATTTTTAATTTTAATTAATATGAGACATGAACTCCCAAGCAATGCTGGGTTACAAGGTTGTGACTCTTTAAAAAAAAAAATTTAACCTTAGTCCATTTTCACCCTTATCTTTGATTAGCTGTAATTCCACGAAGGGAAAAGCAGTGAAGTATTGATCTGCCATATGAAGCACTGAACACTGTTTTCAAAGACTAACACTGACGGTATTGGTGAATAAAGCCAACTACCACCACTTAACATGTTTCCTTACATGGAGCAGCTCTATAAAAATTCACACTTACTGTCACAGTGGTTCTCAACCCTTTCCTATTTACAGGCCACCACAAATCTTAAAAAAATCTAGCCTGCTGAAATAATATGTGTCTCCTTTTGGCTTGGTACCGTGTGCAATGGTACCAAGTGACTATGTACACTTTGAAGTGAAAGAAAGTAGCCTTACATGATACCTGCATGCATAATGTGATACCTAATATTTGACCTCTCATGATCTGATCTTTCTTACTAGATGCAAGACTGTCCTAGCTCTCTGAATGGTAATACCACCTCATTCTTGCATCTGGAGCAAATAACCTCATCTTGCCTACATGACTGGGTTTTAAGGCCAGACAGTGAAATAATACATGTATTTATGGTCAGCATTGCTTTGCTGGTAACTTTGAATTAAAGATTTTCTTCTTAGGAAAAAAAGCAAACAGTGGATAGTTAGGTTTGTAACCACCGCATTTTTCTAGTTGGTAAGACTGCTATAAGAAAAGGCAATTTAATTGCTGTGGGAAGAGGCAAACTGTAAGGATTTTGTAAGGGAAATGTAAAATCACACTGTAATTTCTTAAAAGCTGTAGAAACTTTCACTATTGGGCCATGTTATATCTGATTAGGTAATCTTCTTTATCATGTCATGAAATGTTGAATTATATCAATAAAACCACAAGACAACAACATAAGAAAAGAATCTTTTTAAAAGCACAGGTGATACAAAAGTCCAGAGCTGGAACAAGTTCACCAATATGAACTGTCATTGTTAGTAGTAGCTTGCAATTACTCTTTGATCATAATGGTCTAATGGGAGAATTTCTTCATCTTCACTCAAATTCTTTTCTATTTTAAATTAGCAGTCATTGCATTTTTGTGAAACGCAATGTGTTAAAATCTACTACTAAAGTGTAAACATGCTGCCTTTGGTAGTGGACCTGGCCATCCAGAGGACATAAATGAGGGATGGTTCAATTAAGCTGACACACGGCAGAAGAAAACACTATTTGACTCAGATTAGGATTATTATTTATTATTATCATTTTGGTTCTATCCTGCTTTATGCTCCTCAGCATTGTTCAGCAAGTGGAAAACAGGAAAAACATAAGATGGGAACACAATCTGCCCTATCAGGAATGCACCCATGAAGTTCAAGAATATGGTACTTTTTTTTTTTTTTAAATGCCTCTTGAAATTCTCAGGCAGAAATACCTTCATAAGAAATGATCAGAGACTGTTTCTGGTAAAATTAATGAACTGCCCATGAAAATACATCTTGTGATCTGTTTTTAAAAAGGATCCACCCCTAAAATACATAGATTTTGTCTAGATAAAAAAGCTACATCAACGTAAGTTCAAATTCTTATTCCTGTTCATGCTCGTGGAAGATCAGAACGATATATTTTTTTCTTGAAAATAAGACTGTATTTGGAGTTTAGCGCATATAATTTCATTACTGACTTTTAGATAAAAGGAAGGAACAAACTCAAGTCTTCCCTTTCGACTGTTAAGACATTACTGGCCAAGCAGCCCGACCGCGAGCCACGGATGGGGGGGTTTCAGCTGGGCTGCACCACCGCTCACACAGCTCAGCCAGTCCGACCTCAGAGCCCGGAGCCACAAAGAGGCTTTAAGGAAAAGCATGAACCAGTAATATCTATAAACAGCCGCCTGATGTTCAACACTTCTTTTTGTTTTCGGCGTAATAACGCCGCTCCCCATGCCGGTGAGCTGGCAGTCAGTCGCTGTTCCAATCTGTTCGACCAGTCTCAAAAAAAAAAAAAATAGTTTCCCACTATTTCATACTGTGATGGTGAAGGCTGAGACAGAGCGGCAAGTCCCCGAGAGTCCGCTGTGTTCAGTGCACTTTTAGCGGGTCCCGTCTCTGAACGCTTTGAAGTGACTCGGCCACGGGGCCGGACCCCGCGCCCCCCTCGCCGTGCCCCGCACCGCCCCTGCTCCGTCCCGCATCAGCTGCCGCCGCCCCGCTCGGGCGCTGCCACTTCCCCGCCGAGCACGGCGGGTCCCGCCCGGCGGGCTCAGGGCGGGCACCGCTCCCCGTCCCCCCGGGCGGCGCCGCAGCCGCGCTCCGCAGACACCCGGCAGGAGGGAGCCCGGTGGGCCCGCCCCTCGCTGGCCCTCGCCCGCGCCGCCGCCCTTCTTCTTCTTCTTCTTCTCCTCCTCCTCCTCCTCACTTTCTCCTCCCCCTCGCGGCAGCCCCGAGCCCCCTCCCCTCGCTGCCGAGCCCCGACCGCCCTTCTCACCTCTCACGGTCCGAGAAGGGGGCGCGGTTGGGAGGGGGCGGGGAAAGGAAAAAACCCGCACGGGAGGTCCCCGCACCCCCTCCCGTCCCCTCCCTGCCTCCTGCCCGGCCGCGGCCGCCAGCGCTCCCGCCACACCGCTCCCCGCGGGCAGGGGCGCTCCCGCCCGGCGCTGTCGGGTCCCCGCGGCCCCGCCCTGCGCTCGGCGCCTCCGGCCGGGCAGGGGCGGGGACAGACGCGGGGCGGGGCCAGTTTGGGGCCCGCCCCCTCTGGCCCCGCCCCCTGCCGCGGGGCGGGAGCGACGCGCGCCGCGTGTGGCGGGGCGGGGCCGGGGCCTCTCCCCTCGGGCTGTGGCGCCGCGCGCCCCCTGCCGGCGGGGGCGTGCCTGTCTTCCAAAAGCACGAAACCGAACATTTCCTTAGCTGCCCACTCCCCCGTTTCAGAGAAATAAAGCTATGGTGACACAGATCGCAGCCTGTAGCCTCCCCTCTGGAATCTGTGCCTGTGTGGTGCTGAGGTAGCTGCTCCTCACCGCCTCATGGGCGAACACACGCAGCCTCTTCTGCCCTCGTCGAGCAATGCCTTACCAGGGAGTGCTGCCTTCCAGAGATGGAATGACTTTCTAAATTAATAGACTGTGTGACAGCATGTAAGGGTGCACGAGGCCACTGCTGAGGCATGGCAGTGCAGGTTTGATGCAGTAATGAGATAGTTAGTTCTTGCTTTGTTTAATTCTGCATGGAAATATGGCCTGTGTGGCTGTGTGCTTTGTCTGTCTGCCAGTTCTCACCCCGGCTGGCTTTAAATGATTGAGCTAATTTGAACTAAACTTGACTAAAGGATAGGGTTTTCAAAGGTACCAGTTGTTCCAGCTGTGCAAAAATCATTAGCTAGGTGGAGAGTAGCGTGCCCTAAGGAATCTATTTTCCAGGTCTGTTTGTGGCCAGGCTACACACGCTGAACTGCCTGAGGATAGCAGTGTCTAAATCTTAAGGTGCCCCTGGGGAACATGCAGACAGATCACATCTGGGCCCTCTGAACTCAGAAATGAAACTAAAATGTGCCGTCACAATAGCCCTAAAATAGATATTCCCCATCTGTACTGCAGAGTTCTTGGAAGCCTTCTTCTATAAAATCTAAAGCTCAACATATTCCACAGGTTAATACTTTTTCAACCTGAACTTGGGTGGGATCCTATAGGGTAATTTCTATTTTGACCTTGGGCACTACCAACAGCGATGACAGTCTGACTATATCAGAAAGGGACAGATACTTGACAAAGTCTTCCTGCTGTTTTCCAGTATTTTCTACACTCCTTCTGGACAGATGGGATGGGTGAACACCACGCAACCTTGAAAACAGGAAAATATAAATTGATACAGAAGATACTTAAGGGGCGAAAACAAAGTAGAGCTAATTTGCTAATGGACGACATAAATTGCATAGTGTTATACTTTTTAAATTCATATCTATGATTTTTTGTATCCTATTACTTCTGTTCCACCATACTGCCAAAAAATCAGTCCATTTTGCTTTGGTTTCATTGCTTTCATTACATAACAGCGATGTATTTAAAATATCATATTAGCAAACTTCTATTCCCTGCAGCTTTGTTAAGTCTCTTTCCATAGAATGAGTACTTCTACCTGCCTTACTCATCTTCTGAGATAAATAGATGACGAGAAGAGTGTTTCAAGTTTTTAGAGCACCTCTTATTTTAATTTCAACAGCATTGCTTTGTTTGGGTAGTACTCAATATTTAATGGGTTGTAGGAAAAATACACATCAGAAGACAGCTTTCTGAATTAATGAAATCCTTTATACTTTATATACTCAATATTTGAGTCAAAATTTGAGGGTTTTTTTACATATGCATTATTCAGAGTACTTTTATTCAGAACATTTCAGAAATGTTCTTTGCAGTCTTATCTGCAAGAAGAATTTATGGAATATCATGGTGATTGTCAAAATGAAATACTTCACTTTTTTAACTGGAAAGCTGAGTTGAAAAATTGTGACTACAATGTATAGAAATAGCAATGGCTCTATCCAGTCTTCTTGTGGTGTAATGAGTAGTAAAATACACACTGAAGACACTTGACAGATTGGCAACACATCTGTTATCTTTTAAGAATACAGCAGCAATGATAATATGAACAACTCATTTCATTGTACCTAGCCCATCACTTATTGCCAGATCAGAAATTTTAGATTTTAATGACCAAATAAATAGTCTATTAAAGTCTCAAAGATCTTGTGTTACATAACATTATCTTCCCCCTAGCCCCAATGCGTATATATATAAATAAAACAATGAAATATCCATATCTGACTCATGTGGTTCTGACTCATTTTTATAATGAGGGTCTGATTCATTTTTTTAAAATCTTCTTGGTCAAATGAGAACAGAATTCCTCCCCAAAGATAATTAATTTACTGTTTAGAAGGTATATGAAAGTAGGTATTAGGGGGTTCTTAAAACAAAACTACCCCAAATGTATTGAATAATTTCCATGCATGATTTTTCTCTTATTTTCATTGTAGTCCGTGCGTTTTATCTTCAGTATATTCAGTTGTATCATCCCCATCTATGCCTACGTAAGAGCAAAATGTGGCTTTCTGCAGCTTAATGTAACAAGAAGTAAAAAGGAAAGTCATAATAAGAAAAGGAAATGAATAGATGTTATTTTGCATAAAGTCTGCACTAAGTTAAAAGCTGAAACAGGAAGGAAGTTACCACCACTCTGCTAGATGGTAGCGCTTCAGTGACATGTGCTTGCTTTTGAGAAAACCAGCAATCTTCAAATTAGTATTAGGAATAATTACCGTGTTTATATTGTGTTTACCTGAATTTTTCAAAATACATGAAGGTGAGTGATCAGCTTTTATTTATTCTGAAGACTCTTATTTATTCTGAAGTCTGATTTCAATTGAAATGTTGACACGTGCTTTCCTAAAACTGATAGTTAGGATGCTGCACTCATATGGACTTTGAAAAAGATATAGACTCTTTTTATTAGATTGTTAATAAACAGAGTTAATTATATGAGACAATTTGAAAGGAGTTTGTCATTCACTTACATACTCTTCAAAATTTTTGGTATTTCTATGCAACTGTATTTTTGCTACCTTCATCATGAAGAGGGTAGTTAAATTGCTTATGTCCTTTTATACCAGGTTTCAATGTCTTAAAAAAAAACTTAAAAAAAGTTTTTATACTTAAATGTCTATAAACCTTTGTACAATTACTATCCGTTAATGAGATGTTGTCTGTGAAAGAGATATGCAGTGGTAACCTGCCAAAAAATAGAGCGTAATAGGTGTAGCAGCAGTGCAAATCTTTTAGCACAAATGTCAAATACACCCTAAGGGCTGATACTGGACATGGGATGAATGCAAATACACGTCTGTAAGTTATGCGTTGAGTGCTTTCTCAAAAATCCATAAATAAATTAATATTAAAATAGTTTTGTCACATCCCTTCCTAAGTAAGCATTTGAAGAGATAAATGTTATAATGAAAAGCATCCCTTTGACAAATGTTGTGTTTTCTCAGGCATCATGAAATAATTTATTTATGAAACATAATTTTCTGAAAATATTTAGTATCAAAATATATCCAGATTAGGTTACTTATATTTGTTCTATTTTCAGTAACCACAAAGAATAAACATGCCTGTAATTAGAATATCATGTATAGACTTTTATAATTTATAAATGAACAAACTTGGTAAGCTGTCAGAAGTTTTGAATAGCATAACATTGATAAATCTCTTTAAGATATTGGAATAATTAATGTTTTACCTCCATTCAGAAGCAATCAAAGTATTTGCTAGAACAGACTATGCAAATAAACAATGACATGACTATTACTAGAAGAAAACATTAACCTTACTGTCAAACATCAAAGATTTTTCCATAATAATTTTCCTAGATTGCACTTATTGGAGATGCTTTATGCTGCAATAGTGTGATCACTGCAGTTCTTATATCTACATAAAATCTTAATCACAGCATGTCTAAAATAAGATTGTGAAGTATATGACCAGAATAGACTTATATTTGGAACAGCATATAATTATATTTGGGAAATTAGAATTATTGCTGTATTTTGGATATTTTAAAAACTCTATGACTATATAACAGACTGGGTAACAATGTTTGAATTACATGAGAAAGTAAATATGTTGAATGATTTATTAACAAATTCTAAGGATTTTGGTTCATTGGAAACTGGTTTTATTTCAGATTTTGTGACAAACCCAATATGTAGAGAATTTTTGGTAGATGTTTCAAATTGCTGGTTACTCCATGAGTCTTCAGCAGAGTTGTTGCAAATCTTTGAGACGTGAAATACAGTTGCTGGATCTTCCTCTGTGAGTGGTTCCTAAATTAGTGGCAGAGACTTCCTAAGTACTGGATGTTTTATCCCAGGGGAAGTTCCAGCCTTTATTTTCATTCTGGAGAGGGAATAAAAACGGAAATTTCTCATTAGACAAAAATTTAGGGGGAAATCAATTTGCAAAAAACAAGCTTTAAAAAATTTATCAAAAGAATACATTTCAGCATTGCCAGAAGTGAAATGTTTCCTTTATATTTGTAAAGCAACCCACTTGTTTGGTTGCAAGTCATTGAACCTTTGAACTACATTGCTTTAGGGCAGGAGGTGGTCGTTTTGGAGTCTGGTGCTTTCAATCCCAGACCTGTCCCCTGGGTCCAGCTACTTGATGGAGTGTATTTTCTTTAGTCTATCCATTGTGTATTCCCCAGCTTGTACTGTAGGCCTTGTATCTCTACAATATTATGTAACTATAGTTTCCATAGGGAAATTATCAAAATGCAACTGTAAGTACTGCTGCATTTATTCAAAATCAGATCAAATGAAAAAGAGTCAAACCAACCCTAAGTGAAATATTTGGGATTTTCTTAAGGGGAAGCAAGTTTTTTACAAATTCCAATTTTCCCTGTGAATAATTTCATTTTAATGGAATTGGATTTTCTATGGAAAAACACCCTGTAAATAGAGGCTTAGTCAAAGAATTCGATAATCAAAGAACTTCCTAACATTAAGCATGCAGATTGCAGGTCTTTCAATATAAAGCACTTTCCTAAAGTTACTTTGCATGGTTTTATCTCAGCAATCCTCTTAACTCTTCAGGCTGCCTGCATTCAGATTTCGCAAACCCCTTTCCATATTTCTAGCTATGTTTACACTTGGGAGGGTACTTCCCAGTCCTGAGGTAAGGAGCAAGCCTCCTATGGATATGGCTCTCTGTCTGCCATATAATTCAGTGGGAAAGTCTAGTCTTGTTGTAGTGTTTCTTAACAGTGCTCAACAATATAGATCCCTCCTTAGAAGGGTCACAGTCCTGTGACTCGGAAAAAAAACACTTTACCTATGCTAGATCATAATTTGATTGGCTTTCTCAGTAGAGATCTTTCAAGAAGATGGTAAGCACCCTTCCTAACACAACAGCATTCAAAGTTTTTCCACTCAGGTGATATGCTTTTTCCACACCTACTACATGGCTCACAGGTAGCCCTGGAGCCTGTTTAGCCATGTGTGAAGTTCAAGGTGGATTTCACAGTGCTGAGCATAGATTGCTGTTACAGCTCTGTCAGCAGATTCTCAAGTCCACATACAGGTTTCTTGGTGAAAAGGGTATATTAGAGAATTATGATTTGTTGTCCTTAGAAGCTGTAGCAGTGGTTTTGGACTGGTTGCCCAGGTGCACACACGGCTTGCCATGAGAGCAGAGTAAGCATTCAATTTCTCCTCCTGGCTCATCTCCATAGAGAAGTTCTACACAAAACATCCCCTTCAGCTGGAAGAATTTCACCTCAGGAGGCTGCTCCATGCCAGGTTGTGTGGGTCAGATTGTAAGCATTTCAAGGAACATGTTTTTTCTTGCCTCAGGGAAAGATCAAGCCTTAAGTTTTGTCTGACATTTTTCCTTTTTTATCAAAATTAACTTTTTCTTTCCTGCATAGGACGTGTGTTTTACATTTCAATTTATTATGTTTTATAAGGAGTTTATGACTCTCTCACAATAGTGTTAGTAAAGTGAAGATAATTGGCTTTGGCATTGGACTTTCGATTTTATTTCTGTATCCTGTCTGAAAATCCTGACTGAACCTTTTCTGAGGTCAGTCTGCTGCTCTGCAAGCACAGGTGGCCTGTTGAAGCTGTCAGATTGCAGCTGAGCACTGGAGCAATTAAAAGCTATCTTTTACTCTCTATACATAAAGACTTATGAACATATTACTCCAGTTGCTCGTAATGGGAGTTTGAGGCAAAATTACCTCTTCCTACAGACGCAAGGGTACTACTAGAATTGGAAACACAGCTACAAAACTATAGGTTAGTGCTACATCAACTCTGGGAAGTGGTTATTTGTATTTATAATACATGTTTCGTGTCGGGGTCACAGAAGTATTTTATTCTTATTTTTTTTTATACTGAAAAAATAGTTCAAAGTTAACAGAAGTAAAAATTTGCATGAAAAAGTTCTACTTTTATGTGGAAGACCGAATGACACTCATTAATAATTAACTCTGTGGTTTTTGCTGCTTGCCAGAACTGCATTAATGTACTCTAGCTACAGTACTTTCATGCTGAAATTTGACTATGAATACCAAACCTAATAGTCATAATTAAGGTTTCTGTTTGTTGACTGAACATAAGTGAATGTGAAGGGTGTGGGTGGAGGGTTCAGCAGCATTTTTGTGTATTTTCACTGTGTGGTTTCAATGTCATTTGGAAAGAAAGTTTTCATTCTGATTATAGCGATTTTAGAACATAATTGTACTGGAGATTTGCAACTGCACAGTTCCAGGGCTATGTTCCCCTTCCAAACATGTTGCTTTCATCTTCTTTTCAAGCACAATCAAATTGGAGCAGCTTTGAAACAGAAATGTGTCTAGATACCACTGCAAATTCAAGTTACTATTACAAGAGATTTCTTACAATTCAGCAAAAAAATCCAGCATTTATGTTCTAGGAAGACATTGTGCATACTTTCTCTTAAAAATTATGCATTCAATGTGCTGTCATAATCCTCAAGAAAAAAAAGTGCATTTCATGGTAAGATGGTTGAAGGATTCATTACATGGCATTTCAATGTACATATTTGTCCATATGTCCTCTCTGACTGTCTTGGTGATACAGTACTCTTTCTCTTACAGCTAACACTGTAATTGTGTCATGCATGGATACCTGTTCATCGAATAACACCACTTTTCCCCTTTGCACTTTTAACAATTCTTGCAAAAGAGCAGTGCAAGAAAGAAGAGAAAACCAGAATATTTTGCTGAAGGCCATTATAAATAATTCTGATTTCCAAAATATTCCATGTATTTGCCAGTCCTCTGGGAGGGAACAACAGTCCCATACTAAACGTGCAGAGTGTGAATCCAAGAGGAATGTGAATGTTGATCATCAAGGATCAGTAGCTAAAAAAAGTGAGTGAAGAGAAATACTTACTTTTGAAGCAGTTAATTACAAAATAGAAGACATGTTTTTATTTTGTAGTTAAAAGAAAGTGGTTCTCTATGGTCTTTGCAAATCTATGAACAATGTCTTTTTTTAGCTTGTCTTTGCATGGCTAGAAAATGCAGGTTTTATGCCAGATTCTCAGTGGCATTTGTTCCTGGCTGTCAGTGAAACATATCAGTAGCAAAATGTTGATTTATTTCCTTTGAGGATCTTGGATAAAACAGGGTGAGGGGGGGGGTGTTATTTCATTATCTTTAGGGGGCTTTCTATTGGTCTGGAAGGTGGGTGCTGTGAGAAGAGTACCTTAGCCAGCAGCCACCTGGAATATTTCTGTTGTAAATTCGACCTCTGCCATCTGGCTTTTATGAACACTCTTATAACCCCAATTTTGTTCTTTTAATCTTGCTAAATTGTCTGATATATTTAATTTATTTTTAAGGAGTTGTACTTTATGATAATTTTTCATGCTGAATTTACTTCTAAATGCCATTGTGGAACTCTATCTGTAGATTGCTGGTATCGTGAAGATAGGCGTGAGAAAGTATCTGAAGAACTAATTCAGTTGGTAACTATTCAGATGGCAGCAATATAAGAAATAAGCATTTTTGGTTTTGTAGTCTATGATACCCACAACTGTGTAGTATCAGAAATGGCTATGCTTGTTTTATAAAAAGCAGCACTGAATAAGGAATGGTGCAGCAGTACAGAGAAGAGTTCAGCAACATCCACATCTTTTCAGAGCAGTAGCAGCACATTCTTTCTGTGCCATATACACTTGCAAATATCTGGAAACTTTAAGGGGAGAGGATGCTTCTGTATGTTGCTTTTCTAAAATTGTCAGCAACAGGGGCAATTGACCAAGTCCTGAATATAAGAAATGCAGTTATTTTCCAACCGCAAAATTTTCTTATTACGAAATAGCAGTCTTAACAAGTATGGAATATAAAAAGTTATATGTAGACAAACTCAGTTCTCAGTTATATCTGTACAACTCAACACTTTTTACAACATCTCTCACCTGTTTCTTGTTAACGTAGCACAAGTCTCACAGCTTGTGTAGTTTGAAGTGAAACAAGGACCTTCTGCAACTGATAGGAGACAGACTGTGTACACTTCAAATCTCTGTCATCGTGTGGCTTTTACTGGGGTTTTATTTTTTTCGTAGCCTGATTTTTGCCTGTTACCTTTGACAACTGACAGAACCAACAAAAACCTGAAAACCTCTGAAGCTGACAGTAAAGCAAGAAAGGGGCTATAATTTGCAGGGGAAATACTATTTGTATAGGTAATCAATGCTCTCCAGATCTGCTCAGTATCCATTTGTCCTTTTTATAGCCAATAATGTAAAAACCAACTATATGTTTTTGCAAATGAGACAGAAAACTTACTGTTCTTGAGAGTTGTCTCTTGGTCTACCACTTGTTGTACAACAGTTTTGTTTTAATTTTTAATTCCAAAAGCAAAACCTTGAAGTGAAAACAGAAGATGTTGTTTACTTTTATAAATATTTTAATTCTCTACAGTTTCCAATAAAGAAGTAGAGCATAATACTTATTACCTGATGATAATACACATCAACAATTCTATAGTCGGAGGAAGAAATGCAGCCGAAGAACACCTAAATCATTCTTGTCTAATGGCAATGATGGAAGACCAAAATGACTGTATGAATATTTCACTGCAACTGAAGTCTTATGTGGAATGTAAGTTACAACACAGAATCACAATGGAAATCAAATCAGAAACAATCTTGATAAAGAGAAACAAATGTTGCAAAAAATATCTAGTAGGTAGTTCTCTGCTTTCAGCAATCATTTGAAAGTATTTAAATATTTCACAAGTAGAGAATACTATTTTGATCATCCCTTAGTAAAAGACAATCGTTAGTAGACAACTAACAGTTTTGATAGTGATCTAAAGCAGATTAATTGTGGCCTTTTTTTTTTTCCTAAAAGAAATACAGCAAAGTAATTGTCTGTACATTGTCTTTTGCTTAGCAGCAACAGACTCAGAAATTACACGTGCGAAAAAACCTGGAATTACAGTTTTCCATTCCTTGGTAATGGCATGACCCTGTTGTGTTGGAGGTAAATTTAAAAATCCCTGTTAACTTCGGTGGTAGAAGAATCAGGAGACAGGTTTGACTTTTCTTAGTGTTGTACTGCAATATCCTACTGTACAGCCTCACTACAGTATGCTTAAAAGATAAATGCTCAGCTGAACTAGGCTTAGTTTTCCCTGAGGACAACCTGCAGTATGTATATTTCTCTTTGTGCTGCAGGAGTTTTCTAACGGATTGTCTGATCATGGTCACAAATTCCATTCTGTCTATATGCAACACTTATCATTTGGAAATTGCTGAATTATGACATTAATTTGCTTTTGTATGGCAAATGCATTTTATGCTGCACCTTTGTTGGAAAAAAATACGTATTTTGGTGTTGGCTTAACCTATGTTAAGTAAGTCCAGGTAAAATCCTAGAGAAGAAAGGGCAACTTAGGGCTGATTTTTTAAAAAAATAATTAGGTCTAGCTATGAAAGGAGCATAATTTGTAACTTGCCCTGCTAACTTGTGCTAGTACTATGAGCTAACCACCCTTTGCTAATGCTGATTTACTGAGGTAGTAGTTATCTCAAATTAGCAATAAATATTAACAACGCATCTTTTTTTTCCCCTCTTTACTTCAAAACAAAGCTAAAGAGGTGCTCAGGGCTTTTACTAAGAAGGGCTGATACACAAGTCCTTACAAGCCACTACAAGATGGGGTAGGGTGCTCTCTTTGAAAGGAGCCTAAATTACTGTATAAAAGATATTTTTAGTTCTGAATTAGGAGAGATGATCTGTGCCTCAGAGAGCCATGGAGTTATTGGCACTTACCACATGAGTTCTCAATGGAGAAGATACACGAGGGGAGATGGAGGTCTAGTTATACTATTCTAAGTCAAGGAAAGGGAAACAGTGGTTTGGCTACAGTCTGTAATTAATTTCTTTATGAGTCTGAGTAATATATTTGTTTTTTAAAATAGTTATTTAACAGTGCTAAGGTATGCATTGAAGTGCAGCTGCCAAAATAGTTTGAAAGGTCTTTCAAACAATCGGAGAGGAAAGTTCCCCACATCCTTTCTTTGTCCTATATAGTCCTGGCTTGTGCTTGCGGAATGTGGGTGCATTTCTGCAGCAGCTGTTGTCCAAAAGAGCAGCCTACCTCCTGCACCCAGTCCCATGGGATTCTCCCCCAAGGCAGTTTTAGTTAAAACTCCCCAGAGAGCTCCTGTAGGTGGCATTTCCTCACTTTTTTATAGGAAAATTTCTATAGAATACCTTCTATATAAGGTAGAATCTTATCTTCTCCCATATATGAAGATAGACCAGGAAGTTGAAAATGCCAGTACTGGACAGTGAACCAGTTCCTTCTGTGCTCTATCCAGATAGAGGAGACATGTTCTACCCTTGTTCTACCTTAAATAAAAATGTTGATCTTTGAAGCATTTTCTTCCTTGCTGAGTTGAAAAGTTTTCATTCACTTAGCTACCTGTAACTATTTCAGCTCTGGGGAGATAAATACAGGTGAAAATTAAGCTAAATTCTTGATAGGAAATTTAATTTCAAAAACCAGAGAAGGCTGAAAGAAAAAGGCATAATCTCTTTTGTTTTGTTTTGTTTTGTTTTTATCTATGGGGATAGACACGATCCCAAACCCTACCAAAATAGAATGTTCTGCATTTCTGTGCTGCTTAATTTTATCTCTTCTATGTTTTGTGGACAGATCCAATGTGTATGACGAAGATCATTTGGCTCACTATGATTCCAGTAGTTTTTGTGCTTACTATTTCAATCGTCATCTACAAAATAATCCAAGAAAATAAAAATATATGTAAGTAAAAAAAAAGTTAATCTGCAATTTCAAAACTGTTGTTTATTACTGTAGTTCAGACACTGATATTTTAATTGTCAGATGGTAAAACCTTCTTAGAGAGGGACTGAAGTACTTGGATGACTGACAGTATCACCTCTCACCTCTGAATTGTGGATGCAAATTCAGCCTTGTTGATGGTGAATGAACTGTGGGGTTTTTGACAGATACTTGGTGGCCTATGCTCCTTAGTGATATGAACTTCTGGTTTCACAGGGATTTCAGCAGATGAAACGATTACAGCTGAACTTTGTGGAAGGTTTTAAGCAGAAATGTCAATGACCAATATAAGCGGATTGAAACAACCTTTTTTTTCTTACTGAAGATGATTCATCTAGGTCATGGTCAAGAAAAATTACAGGACTGATAGGAGGAGATATGCACTCAGCTGTCTGTCCTAAAAACTGGCTGTCTAAATTCATTGGTGGTGTAATCCACTACAGGTCAACCAAGCTGTTTCTTCTTAACCCCAGAGCTGAATTAATCCTGGATAAGATTTTTTTCTCTTTGCTATTATTTCAGCAAAGAAAACATTGCTGTGATTTGTGAACCAGTACTATTGACTATTCCAAGTGATTAGAACTTTACTCTGAAAGAACTTGCCCCAAGTTCAGAGACTGAAATGATTGTTTCTGCATTATACCTTCACCAGCCAAGACAGGCTCTTCCTATGTAATTCACTTGGGATACAGGCTGAAATCAGATTTATGGTGTTTTTTCTAGCAATTGAGGAAAGCAAGAACAAAAGTGTAGGAGTACCCTGAGCTTGAGACTTTTGAGCAATCAAGTCCTCTGCAAAAGAAACAATGCAGAAAATTGACCACTTGTCTGCTGCTGGTCCTTGTTTTAGTTCCCAAGTCAGAGGGAGGTGGTACAAGGAGCACACTCCCTTTTGTCTATATGAAAAGAATATTACTTAACCTGTTACTTGAGAGAATAATGCTTAGGTGCTTTCACAGCAATTTCCTGAGACTTTCTGCCTGCGTCAGCCCTGAGTGGGCAGAATGCTTCCAGACAACCAGCATTTAGTTGCTATTATCAGGCTTGTGTCCATTCCCCTTGTAGTTCAGAAGTGCTGAGTGGAGACTCTGGTCAGAGGGGTAATAAAAAATGATAAGCCATATCCATTTCCCTCATCATTCTGATGTATCCACAGGTAGTTTTGTAACAAAAGAGCAATAGGAGTATAGCTTTAATCATAACTGAAGGAAGAAGAGTTCCCCCCCAAAATGTTTCTGTGACTTTTTTTTCCTAATGTAAATACTTTATGCATATATGTTTAATGAATAAGCAAAATAGTTGATTGAAATGTCAAATTTGTGTCCCCCTACCCCAATTCAAGAAACTCCTTACCAGATTATCTTGGTTAAAATACATGGTCTTTTACTTATTGTTAGAACCAAATTCTGATACATATTTTATGTATAAAACCCCCCCACAAAGTGTAAATCAGGTCTTTATAAGTGGGCTATTAAGTGCTCTAATTTAAAAGACTTATATTTGTAATCTGAAAACTACTTATAAATGTCATCTAGGATTTTCTATGCTTTGAGTCATAACATCTTATTTTTGATGAACTATAAGTACTGATAATTAATTCTTTAATACCTTTATTCTTAAACATCTTAAACATCAGTTGTCTCTTAAATGTGTGTTTTTTAGCATCATCGTGGACACAAGCAGGGAGGACAAGATGCCTTTTGAGGCTTCTAATTACTGATTTGCTTCTAGAATATTTCTGTTAATTGTTGAAAAGTGGGTTTATGAGTTAAATTTATAATATATAACATAATAAACAACATCGACATGTTACTGATGAAAAGAAAAGCACATAAAGTCAGATTTAAAGGCTATATTCCTGATGTGTATATATCACAGTATATAATTTTAACTGAACCTTTAATTGCAAGTCTACCTACTGCTTTTTTTCAGTAGTGCTCAAAGAATACAGAAGAACATTACTGTGTTCCTGAAACAGCTGCTATGAATTTTTCCATAATTCATTGTCATAATTATTAGTTGTAATTCAGTTAGTAGTTTTTCTCTTAATTTCTGAGCACCACTGAAAGCTGTTAGGAGATATGGAATTATTCATTTCCTCTTGAGACCTTGCAAGACATTCTGCTAGGCAGACACTGAGACTTTCTGAAACATTGTTATTTTCATGAGTGAATAAAATAAAATATCCACATAAACTTACTGGAGGTTACAAATGATCCATGAGAAAGCTTTCCTTCTAATCTGTGCTGAGACTAATACATTTTGTTTAAAACAGATTATAAACACAGAGTAGCAATATCAGTTTCTACTATCCTAAGAAGAAAGGGTTCCAGACATTCAAGAAGAACCATATCTGCTACTAAAATTCCTCCTTATCCTGGTAAGTAATATAAAGGTTATAAAAACCAGTTAAAAAATCTTGAGGCCCGAGGAGGTCAAGAAAGATTTTTTAAGTCTTTCTTGTCAAGAAATGCTTCAGGTTTGTTTCAGAGTTACCTTGGTCCTACACAGATTTTGTCTGGCTTATGTTATGGAAATATTTTTGTATGATAAAGAAATAATTCTGACAATAAATCTGTAAGAAGACTTACATATGTCATGTGGGAATGGTTCTCCCAGTCTTCCCAGAGTGTTGCATTAACGACTTTGAGGTTTTTAACTCCTTTTCATTTTTGATCATGTTATGTGCCAGGTTTGAGGTTTGGCAGCTGAGTGTTTTGTGTGTGTACGAAAAGTATAGAGAGATGTACACGTGTGTATGTATGCTCTATGTGTTTATGATTCCTGGTAAAATCTGCTACCAAAGCATGAAATATAGCAGGACTCAGAAAATGGCTCTGCTGGCACTTTGTAGCCTATTTCTAGGATAAAATTCCCACAAAGTACAATTTTTGTGTTTCGGATAGGAAAGAAATTGTGGTCTTCCGAGAGTGTAGTATGTTTTAGCACAGATAAATTAAATGGCATGGATAAACTCAAAATTTTGATTCTAGAAGTTACGGTTTGGTAACAAATCTCTGTGTGAGTTACAATTAGCAGCTACAGCTGTCAGTGTTACTGACACGGCTAAAAGATGCTTTAATTAATTTCATGGCTTCTGGTTTCATGAAGGGAGCTATATCTTTAAAAATATTAACATGAACATATAGAATAATAGCTATAAATGGCAAACTAACCTCCCTCCAAAAGAAGAAAAATACAAAGCCAGCAAATAAAAAAATTATTTTAGATTTGGCTATGCTTGAGTACTTTGCTATTTGGCTTGTTAGTTCTTCAGGAGTAAGAGGAGATGCAATAATTTCTCTCTACAACTCTGTATTTCATGGCATTTCAATTTTACCTAGAAAAGGGTGAATAGCTCCTTGTCTGTCTGAACTCTCCTGTGAGTACAATTTATGCTCCTTGCTCTTACAGCACTGGCTACCTCTGAGATATATTTATGAGCTCATTATTTTCATCCAGCAGGAAAGGAATTACTTTTCTGACATCTATTGTCTTGACTAGCTCAACTAATACCATACCTGTTTTATCAGCATGTTCACAATGGCATTTTTAGTGTTGTATATCCAAAGGTATTTTTGATGTGGAGTTTTACGGAAATTCTGATCTAGTTTTACTAGATTTTACTGAAGATAATATGAATTCCTTATTGGTCTGTCATTCTCACTTCTATGTGACTTCCACTTCAATCTATTTGTGTAACCCAGAAAGATGTTTAATTGCATGAATTGCTGTAATAAGATTATTTTAATACAAAATTCCTTGATTTCACACACCACAATTTCAGTCAATCCAATCAATTTCACAGTTCATACCAATGTAATTTAAAGTGGAGTCAAATCCATATGAAGAGTTTATTCTTTCCACAATTGCTAAGTTTAAGATTTGCTACTGTGATAATGGATTATAAATAGCTATAGATGCCTTTGTTCACAGCCCTTGATGATATTTTCACTATCATTAGCGCATAGCTTGCAATCTTGAAACAAAACATTGAGATCCACTGAAGACAATACAGCCACCCTGGAAACACAGTAATGAGTACTTGAGAGGATGTGACCGTATATCATACAGATGAAAAGATGTATAGGTACTACTAAAAGGTTATTCAAAGTTCAGAAAACTATAAGGGATGAAAAAGAACAAAACCTATATTTTGAGAATCAGAGTCAATTCCTAGGTGGCTCAGAAAATTACTGTCTTGATGTCACTTCGGTTCTACGAAAAGATAATTTACAGCACGGATGCCTGTTATGTGAAACTGTTAGTGGCTTTATGTACGTGAATTATTGTCATCAAGTCCAACAGCCAGAGGAAAGGGGAAAAATGTTCTCTAGGGTAGGATTAAAGTTACAAAACTTCCAAATTAGTGGTGCTACAAGGGTGTAAGCACGTATAGTGAGGACAGGGTGTTTTAAAGCATTCTGGTCATAAACGTTGTCTAAACATTGTCTGTGCTGTTAAGGCAAAAAAGAACACATTAGAGTGTGGGCTGTACAAAGCAGGTTTTCTAGACTCTGGATCTGGTCCTGCCATTGTATTTATGTATAATAGTCTGGTTCTACCACTGTATTTATGTGTAATAGTCCCTTGAATGGTATGAACTGACAGAACAGAGCTGCCCTTAAATGCAGCCACAAGAGAAGGGAAAGTCTAGAGGGTGCTTTTTTCTTTAGTGCAAGAAGTAAGTATTTTTTAAGTGGCTAATCTGTATTTCCAGACATAGAACAATTTTGTATCAATGGGACTTGATAGTAACACGTGGAAACACATGGCAAATAACCCACAGAAGGAATGTAACTTCCTTGCTTTGTGTTCGCTACAGAGAATCCTAGTGAGATTCCCACATAAGAGACTTTTATTACAAGAATTTCTTTAAGAAACTTTCTTAAATTGAGGAGGCAGTAGAAGAGATTTTAGAACAGTGTAATAAATTAATAATAGCAATTAGAAGGACTAGAAAGTAACCCCCAGAGTGTTTTAAAAGAACTCAGATAGAAACTGCTGAATTATCATTGCAGCTTACTGCTTAAATCAGCCTCAGTTGCACATAAAGGGAAGGCAGTTATACTTACCCTGCTGTTATTCCTTTTCCTTAGCTCATTTTCCCTATACTACTTTAGTACCTCTATGTTTAGTACTACTAACTGATTAAGTGCAGCTGTTCTCATATAGTTGTATCTTAAAAAAAAAAATCAGCCTGGGGGCATGGTACAGAATTGCTTGTTGGGAGCAGGCCGGTGTGTGTGAACTGTTTGCTACTTTATATAAAAAAAAACCCCAAACAACAAGTTGCATAGGAAGCAGATTGTATAAATCAGGGCATTCAATACCTAAGCTGAATCTGCCCAGCAGGGTCTGGAAGTTTCATTAATATAAATAATGGGTTATACTTAAGTGGGAGTTTATATTACTAGAATTCTACCTCTATAGATTTGCATTTAGACTTTCTTTTCCTAGAGTAAGAATGGCATTCCTTGTTTATTTTTCTCCTATTTTAAAAGTGACATAAGGTGTGTTGAAATTCTGTGCTAGAATTGGACCATGCAGAGAGGGAATCATATGGTTAATATCTTGTTATTACTGTACAGTCTCTGTGGGCAACCTTAGTTCAAGCATAATGCCTTGTCCTACATTTCTCAAACAGATATATTCTCATTTTCAGTGATACTCCATTGGCTCATGGAGCCACAATTTGGTTTATTACATTTTAGGATACAAATACAGGATTCTTTGTCTCACACTACTGGCTCACAGTAATACAAAGTTAATTTTCATAGATGGTAATTTTATAAATCATCCTGAAAGAAGGACATCACAGTATCACGGTGACAACTGGGACTCAGAGAATAAAACCTCAGGGTTTCTGGCCTGCAATTGTTTCCTGACTGTTCAGACTTTTTGACATTCATAGCATTTGATATAAGTGGGCTTGACAGCTGTAATTTGCACATAAGAAACAACAAGACAAATTTCCTCTTGGTCATTTAAATTCCTGTATTGTTTTCTGTGCTACACTATTACAATAATAGTTCCTCTCCTACATGATTAGAGGAAATAGGGGAAATTCTGCTGTCTCTCTGATGTGTTGCTACAGCTTCAGGTTAGTTGACAGGTTGGAAATAGAAGCAAATGCTGACTCAGTAGTGTCAGGGCTGGAATCCCAGCGAGTTCAGATTCACTCCTCCTTGTATTCTGCAACATATTTTCTTTTTAACGAAGAGAACAGGTAAGATATATCTTTTACAGTAGCACATATATGCAAAGCCAAGAAAGGAGAAATCTGTTTAATCTTGACCAATGGAAGTATCAGCAACTTCGTTCTTATCCCTCTCGGTTCCTAACATAACTGAATAGTTGTTTTTTCCTCTGCAAGTGAAATGAATAATGCTGGGAAAAGCAAAGCTTGTCGTAGTATTCAATATTTAACAGAGACTTAGATGTTTCTGAGGTGCGACATTTCCAGAGAAAAGTGCAAAGCCTTATTATCACTTTGAGGCTTTTTTATTCTTCAGATAAAAAGGAGGATAAAATCCATAGGATGCAGGTAACTTTCGGGAGCTTTTTAAAGCCCCTGAATGCTTTCCATAGAGCACTGATGTACAAGAGACCTTTTTTCTGCTTGATTTACATGCATGCAGAACACTGTTACACACAGGCACTGAAGGGAATATTAGCCTACATTCACATTCTCTCCAGGTTCATCCTGGAGGTGAAACAAGATACATTGTTATTTTTTTAAAACTACCCCAGTTTTATTTTGAGTTTGCTTTTCATATTCAGTTGCTTAATGGCAAAGATCCAAACTCTACTTTTTGATTGCATTTGTAAAGAGAGAAGCCCAAATGATAGTCAGTGGAGAAGGAAAGTAGCTAAATATAAGTAGCACAGTTTATCCTCCTGTTATCAACTCAGTAGAAATCCGTTTTTAAGCTTACAGAAGTAATGGATGGTCAGGGATAGGATGGACCTGGAGGTAAAATATTTTGTTCTACAGTAGTTTTTTGACAAATGCACTGGATCAACAACTCTGCCTTATTTGCCTGACAATGCTATTTCTGCATTTCCTTATCTGTATCACAGCAAGATATCAGGGTCGGTGTTATCAGTGTGCTAAAGGCATCACCACACCTTTCCTGCTTCTGAGGTTCATGCTGACGTCTTTGTTAACAACATGGTGATACGCAGTATCTCCCCCTGTGTGTGACAAATGAGCTGAGGCCACACCATGTGTGCCTGAGTGGTAATCTGTGCTGCCCTTAAGTGAAAATTAATCAGGAAGTTCACACTCTAAATTTCAGTTGTTTCTGCTTAACTGATCAAATGTAGGGTTTTGTATTTTGGGGGACTCATATCAGGACCTGAGGGTGACCTGATATTGTGTCAGGGAAGGTTTAGGTTGGATATTAGAAAAAGGTTCTTCCCCCAGTGGGTGGCTGGGCACTGGAACAGGCTCACCAGGGAAGTGGTCACAGCCCCAAGCCTGACAGAGTTCAAGAAGCATTTGGATGATACTCTCGGGCATGTGGTATGACTCTTGGGGATGGTCCTGTGCAGGGCTTAGAGTTGGACTTGATGATCCTTGTGGGTCCCTTCCAACTCAGCACATTCTGTGATTCTATGAACTCCAAATCTGCATGCTTTTGGATTTTCACTACTAAGTAAATTTCAGGAGCAATTTATTTGCCTACCTTCAAGCTGCTTCCCAGGAAGACTTAGGATCAGCATGTTGTAGTCCTACTGGTATTAAGAAGAAGTTAAATACAAAACATGGTTAGTACTTTCAGGAGTTCCTGATGTGTAGCTGTGTCTCTGGGCACTGAAATCTCACTGAAAACCTCTTTGTATATCTCTGTCTTATGTTCAGATATGTCTCAATTATTTTCAAACTTGCATATTCAAGTTCAACACTCTGCAGGTGTACTTGCTGTTTTATAATATGGATAAAAATTATTTTAACTTTCAACAGTGAAAACTAGCAAACAACAGATTCTACTTACTGCACAGACCACAAAGATACTGCCTGTAATTCCTGAACAAGAGCACTGTCATGCAGATCAACTCTAGATCTAGAAGGTAAGTAAACATCTTACAACTCTGATTACTCTGTTTTGCCTTGTATTTTTGGAAGTAATAGTAGGCAATATCTGCTCAAAATAAATTACTACTTTGTCTAGCCAAGTATATGAGCTGAAAAACTGGATAATGTTTTTTGTAAGATGTAGGTGGCAGGAAAAGAGAATCAATTTTCCTTCTGCTACCAAAAGTGATCTATAATCAAATGTGTTAGCCCATTAAACTCTGTGTGTCCCTGCAGGTCCTGGTGCAAATTCTGACACTTTTTTTCTGGTGTAAAGTATTGTGTCCTACACTTCAGAAATGTACTGACATTTGTTTCTGACAAGGGCAGAGGAAAAAAAGCAATTTGCAAATGATCTCTGAAGAAAATCCCATATTTTAAATACATAACTTGCTGATGAAATTCCCCAAACTAAAGAAATCGATCACCCTGATGTTCTCACACCAGTCAGAAGGAATGACAAGAAGCTGGTTTCCACTTGGAACTAAAACTAGTCTCCCACTTCTAACTTTCTCCAGGCCTTGTGCTCCAGTAATTGTTTCAGGAAGTCCAGATGTAAGGAAATAAGTCTGGAAAGAAATGTGCGCTAAGAGGTATCTCTTCCTGAAAACACTTGTAATGTCTCGAAACAGAACAGATGCTACTTGAATAAGTAATATAGACAAGGTTATGCTACTTGAACAGATGATATTACTGTGTGTGGTAATTTTTTAGGTTCAAGGCTTAAGGAGGCTCCTTCTTTACCTTTATTTAAATTGGATGGAGTTTTATATTGAAAACTCAATATTATGTCATGCTATCTTTTTATTTCGTTAAAAAGAATTGATGTACTGAAGAGCAGTTTGACTTTTTTGCTTCATGTGGAACCATGAAGATGAAATTGTAAGTTGAGAGCAGAGCTAAAGAATAAATTTTTCAACAGCGTTGCTGACAGAAGATGAGATACTTCCATAATAAATTAAAAACTGTGCTAAATAATTTTTTGGTGTTTGAGTGAGTCTGGCTGGGTCATAGGATGGTGTACTACAGTAATTAAAAATACTGACCACTTTTTAAGTGGTTGCCATCCATAGATGTTACGAGGACTTACAGAGATGAGCAGTTGTTATTATTACTGTTCTAAAACGAGAATATCAGGAGGCACAATGAGATAACATGACTTGGGAAGTCTGTGAACATAACTGAGAGCACCTCTCAGATCATCTGAGTTCAGCTGTTTGCCGTTTGGACTCAGCTTCCGTGTGAGTAGGCATTTTGCAGGCCCCATCAGCCTTCCTGTAGGGCAGCTTCTTCCTTTTCTCAGAGACTCCTCCCAGCCATTTCAGTTCTAGATCATTTTTTTTTACTGATATTGTAGTGTTACATGACATTGTGTGAAAATATTAATAAAGGATGTGGCTGCAGAGGCAGGAACTTAGATCTAGATCTTGCCTTTCATGATGTTAGGTTTTGAATACATTTCTCAAAGGCATACTGTCTCAGAGCTAAACACTGTGAAAATAGTCAAAAGCGCTTTCTGCTTTAGCTTTCTTCACTTCCTCCAAAAAACCACTTCTCCCTTCCTCTGATAAGGTCAGATTCAGCTCATTACTACTTGTGTCTGTGTGTGGCTCAGTGGCTACCAATGCTGCAGCTACTGAAAAGCTTGCTAGCAAGAAGTGCTTTTGGTTACCAAGGCTGGGGAAGGAGATTGTAATCTGCTTTTCTCATGAGTGCTGGATTTGTCTCTATGAAGTCTCTACAACGCTGCTAAAGACTAGTTTGCTCAACAAGGAGGAGCTGGCTGTGCTACAAGTGCTGCACATGAACAGCTGAGTTCTGAGGCTGAAAAATGCCAAAATGATTAAGTTCCAGAATTGACAAAGACAGTTTTAGACTACATTGACTTGATAAAACCTGTTTTTCTGCCAGAGAAGGAGGTGGGATGGAGATAAGAAGTATCAAAAAGATCATCTTTGTATCACACTGACTGCTGCTCCCCTGAAGCATACGCATTTCAGACCACTGATACGAGAACCTCCTCAAACAAGGAAGGGTTCTAGCCAGAGAAATCTGAGTGAGCTCCTGGGATAGTGCCAATCTCACCCTTCCCTGCTTCAAATCTGGCTTCTGTCTAGTTGGTAAGAGTTACCTCCATGCCTGCCCTGGATCAAATAGGCAAGACAGGGACAGGCAAACCACTTTTGAGCTACACTTCTCCTCATTTCCAGCCAGCTGAAGCTGCACTATTAACCACAGCACAGCGTTTGATTCTCTGTCAGGAGGCTGCCTACACAGCAGCTGTGGTAGTTGTAACAGCAGCATGAGAAGGAGGAAATAAAAAAGCAAGGATCACTCTGATCACCATCATTATTGCTACTGAGCTGGAGAACCTGCTGATGGCCTCAGCAGTGGCCCTTAACCCAAAACAGTGAAAGCTGAAAGGCTGAACGACATTATTTTTGCCCACAGGAATGGTCAGGGGAGACTGATTTGCATATTATTTGCTCATTGCTGAAGTTTGCAACAGGGAAGTATTCCTCTTGTTAGTGGATTGAGAGAGATACCTATAATCAATTACACATTGAAACTTTCTGCTGTGTTTTTCTTTTCATGCCAGAAAAAGACATGTTTCTTTCTATAAGTGTATTTTAAAGTCTTTAAGACAATACTGTTGATCATAAAATATACTGATAAACATATGACCATATGTTTATAAATATACTTATACCCCATGTGTTTGTATGTATCTATATATCTGTGTGCATGCACAGAAATGCACAGACATGCTTAATTATTTACTATCACGCTGACAGCTAATTCAGTTAATAAAAAATGCACAACTTCTGCGCTTGTGCCTTTGCCAAAGGAGAATCTCTTCAGCATAGGTTACGTAATCTCTGTGTATTTTCACAGTAACTATTATTTTTACATTTGAGTGCCGAAGGTAAGAATCCTCCTCTGTTTTTACCATCTTTCATTAAACTACCGTATTAGCAACTGCCCTGGAAAAAATTAATAAGCCATTTCTCTTAAGTGTTTTAAGACAGTCCTCTCCTTACATATGTCATGGTTTAGAAATGGTATTTTCCAGTTTAGTACTCCTGCTAAAACCACATTGCTGCTTGCTTCCCCTCCCACTCCCCCTCCAACTGGAAGCATAGAAGGCACAGATCACGGTTTGAGTTAATATTAATAACAAAAGGTATAAGACAAAGAAATGATTTATGCTGCTCTTCAATCTTCGGGTGATTGGGGCAGAATAAAAGCCACGTGTTTATAGCATGAAGAGAAATCATGAGGCCTCTCCTGCAGTACTGCTCTCCTCTGCCTGTTTAAGGGGAAGCAGCACTGTATTCTCTGAATCAAAAGCAGCATTAACGGATTTCATGAATGACTAGGGACAGAACACTGTTCTATTTGGGGAAATTAGAGACCGATACAGACCTGGCAGTTCCTGGAGGAAGTGCTGCCATTTTACAAGAAAAGAAAGAAGAAAAACTAAGTGTCTTAAAGCCAACTGTTGTGGACTTTCCTTTTTTTTTCTTTTTTTTTTTCTTTTTTTTCTTGGAAGTGCCCAGTGCTATGCTCTGACCTGATGCTAGATCAAATTCACCCAAATTGGTCACTATTATCCCAAACATTTTATTTACTGCAATCTCTTTGACAATCAATGTCCAAAGGGAAAGATAAAACAATCTTGTTGTCCTACATCCCATTAATTCTTTTAATAAAATGGGTATACATGATAAAGGCTGCATAAAAGATAATGAAAGTTCCACATCAGCAATTGCCAATGATTTTAGTACACTGCCTTTTGCCATCAGTGCTTTCAACTCTCTTTGTAAAGAGCTTTGAGATTCTTGAACATGTAAGGTGCTTCACATCTCTGTATTTCTTTCTGAGTGACAGTGCTGCTGTATAGTCAGATAAGACAAGTCAGTCTCCCAGTGAACATAGAATTTAAGGCAGGATCTTATCTTCAGGTGAAATGGATTATAACACTGGACCACAATGTGGATGACAGGTAGGGACGATGCACAGGGGAAGCATGTGTATGGCTGAAAAGATGAAAACCTCTTTCAAAGAAATTGTAAAATAGAAGAATTTGATGGGTCCTTTTACTCTCTTACAATCTGAGAAGCATGTGGACATGAACCCTCCTATGGCCACAGTAAATAACTAAGAGTATGAGAGGTTGATTCCTATCCAGCTACACTCACAGTATCATCACTGCTGTTGTTTTCTAAGGAAACACTCCCCTAGCAAATTAGAAATGTGATTGTGCATATTCTAGTCTAATGCCAGAAAAGTTCAGTGCAGATGTACCTAGGGTATTACCTGGGCTTTGGCTCAGGCCCCTGCTACCTTCTTGAAGAGGTCTTTAAATGCCGTCATTGCTGAACTTAGTAGCACAAACAGAAAGTGCAGCTAAAAATACTCTTCCCCTGCTTTTCCTTATGTGACTGTGACTTCACAAAAATGTTTTCATATTTTAAAGAATCTCTCTCTCATCTGTCTTCAAGCAAGACACCCACAGAAACAACAGAAGATAGATATTATGCAGAGAAAACAGTGAAACTCATAAAATATTCTAGCAAAGACGAGTACCAAGTGTGCTCAGGAGAGAGAGAAAGATTACAGTTAAGCTGTTTTTCATGCGGGTGTTTGTGAAGAATAGTAGGTGTGATTTTAAATTGCTAGGATCCTTCCAATTATCCTTTTGACACCGTTTCTGAAAAGCACTGCTTCAGTGCTCTGAAGTGATACTACTGGAGTTAAAGCTATCATTAAATATGGAGTGAAGCTGCTGAAGGCAGAAGTTCCTACTAATATACTGACCTACTGGGTTTGCCAGTTGGCTCTTTTTGTTAGACATAATTTTTTATACTTTCAGTAATTTCTGTAGATAACTATGATGCTATGATTAATGCCCTCATGCAGCTTTAAATGGTTTTCAGAACTGTATTCACTCAATTACATTTGTTTTTTAATTACGTTTGTTTTTTAAGTATCATGAAAGGTAATTCCTCCTCTGTTTCTGCTTCATCTTAATCTTACATTAAAATGAAAACTCCTCTCAGTACAAAAGAGCTCACAGAATCAGATTGCTGAGCACATTCCAGGGTACTTGGCACAGTTATTGGGTCCTGCATAAAATGCATGCCAGGATGTGTTTCTCTCCAAAACAGACACAAAGGGTTCCAAAGGGAAGCAATCCTGCTTGCTGGCAGAACTGGACTGTAAGGAGCACTGTGCAGGCTGTTTAAACCCACTGTTCCATTAGCCAGCATCAATTTTTGATGCATGGTATCCTGCCTACACTTGTCATTTTCTAGCTCACTTCAGCAGCTGCTGCCTCCAGTATGATTTCACAGCCAAGGTACATTTCTTATCCCAGCTCTTATGATGTAAAAGAAAATGGAGACAGACGTTGTAACTGGGCCTGCAGCTACAGGAACTACCAGAATGGGTGACAAGTTAAATTTGCTTTTTCACTCAGTGTGCAAATAAGAAGAACAGAAATCCTGTGCTTCCACACTGCCTCCCTCTTCTCCTCCCTCATCATTGCATAGTTCCCTAAAAAGTAAGCTGAACTTGATTGAGATCAGAGCATTTTCATATTTATTGTTTACTTTGAATACATAGTCATTGTTTACTTTGGCTGAACACCAAGTATCTAGTGGGCCTGCGCCCAGTCTCTCCAGAGGGAAGGGGAGGGGGGAAGAGGGAAAAAGAAGGAAAAAAAACCCCTACAGAACTGAAGCTGCTAAGAAAGG